CACGAGCCTTCCAGGCCGTTGTATTCGACAAGTTGAACTCATTTGAGCCGCTAGGTAGACATGTCGATCACATAATTTGAGAGATACCCTTATTACTTTGGTTTTTTAACGAATGTAGATGGTGACTTGTGATTTCACCGAAATCCATGCCAATTCCCCATTATCCGATACGTAATCAATAATTCTGACTTTCTTAAGTTAGAAGGTTTGATCTTTGAGGTCGACGCGGAGGAAAGGAATCGAAAAATGGTAGAAATCAACAGAACGACACAAGTGTTATTAAACGACACTTGTGTCGTTCTGTTAATAAACACGAGTTTGAGCAGCCACGAGCATTCCAGGCCCTTGTATTCGACAAGTTGAACTCATTTGAGTCGCTAGGTAGACATGTCGATCACATAATTTGAGAGATACCCTCATTACTTTGGTTTTATAACGAATGTGGATGGTGACTTGTGATTTCACCGAAATCCATGCCAATTTCCCATTATCCGATACGTAATCAATAATTCTGACTTTTTTTAAGTTAGGAGGTCCGATCTTTGAGGTCGACGCAGAGGAAATGAAGTGAAAAATGAGATAAATCAATAGAACGACACAAGTGCTGTTAAACGGCACTTGTGTCGTTTTGTCAATAAACACGAGTTTGAGCTGTCACGAGCCTTCCGGGCCCCTGTAGTCGAGAAGTTGAACTCATTTGAGTCGCGAGATGGACATGTAGTTTACATAATTTGGGAGATACCCTCATTACTTTGGTTTTATAACGAATGTGGATGGTGACTTGTGATTTCAGTGAAATCGATGCCAATTCCTCCGTTATCCGTCACGTAATTAATAATTCTGACTTTCTTAAATTAGGAGGTCCAATCTTTGAAGTCGACGAGGAGGAAATGAAGCGAAAAATGGGAGAAATCAACAGAACGACACAAGTGCTGTTAAACGGCACTTGTGTCGTTCTGTTAATAAACACGAGTTTGAGCAGTCACGAGTCTTTCGGGCCCTGTATTCGAGAACTTGAACTTATTTGAGTCGCGAGATCGACATGTCGCTCACATAATTTGGGAGATACCCTCATTACTTTGGTTTTCTAACGAATGTGGATGGTTACTTGTGATTTCACCGAAATCCATGCCAATTCTCTCTTTATCCGTCACATAATCAATAATTCTGACTTTCTTAAGTTAGGAGATCCGATCATTGAGGTCGATGTGCGGATGAAATGAAGGGAAAAATGAGATAAATCGACAGAACGACACAAGTGCCGTTAAACGGCACTTGTGTCGTTCTTTCAATAAACACGAGTTTGAGTAGCCACGAGCCTTCCGGACCCCTATATTCGAGAAGTTGAACTCATACGAGTGGCGAGATGTACATGTTGCTCACATAATTTGGGAGATACCCTCATTACTTTAGTTTTCTAATGAATGTGGATGGTGACTTGTGATTTCACCAACGCGATATCTACAATCTATGCCAATTCTTCTCTTATTTGTTACGTAATTAATAATTTTGACTTTCTTAAGTTAGGAGGCCCGATCCTTAAGATCGACGCGGTGAAAATAAAGCGAAATATAGGAGAAACCAACAGAACAATATAGATGCCATTAAACGTCACTTGTGTCGTTCTGTCGATAAACACGAGTATGAGCAGTCACACGCCTTCCAGACCTCGATATTCCATAATTTCAACTCATGTAATTTGCGAAATGGACATGCCGCTCACATAATTTGAAAGATATTCTCATTGCTTGGACAAGATGAAAAATGAAAACAACACTAGTGATGTTACTGTTATGAAAACAGTACAAGTGTCGTTACTTATGTAAACACGATACGAATAATTGATAACTTGTATATTTAAAAATAAATTGTTACTAGATCAATGATATTTAATATCTAAACATCATTTCTATATTTTTTAGGTAAAATACTCGAAATGGTACCGTGATATTTTGTTATAACAAAAAATAAATATCTATCATTATGACTTCATCGATTCAAGTATATATTAAAATAATATGAAAATAGTTACAATATTTAAATTATCAAAGTAACCACAATATATTATCAATAAGAGACAGATCATAACAGATAATGGTTGTACTGTCACTTTACATAGAGGATAACGACTGTAGTGTCGTTCTACACTATAGATAACGACTGGACTATCGTTTCCAATCGTTATCGTCCAATAGTGCGGACGATACAAATATAGACCAAATGAGAAAATAAAATCAATTAAAATATCATTTTATACTATATTAAACAATAAAAGTACCAATGTAAATGAGATTTTTAAAAATACCTTTCTTTTTTCTTTAAATATAGTGGAAATCTCAATGTAGATAATATAGATAATAAAATTCTTGTTCAAATGCTCACAATGTTGGAGAAGATAGAAGAAAAATACAATAAATATCAAGATTTTAGGAAAGAAATCACAGGGAAAACAGGTTAATGCATTTTGTAGATGAATTGAGGGATTTAATTGAATTGAAAGAGGTATTTAGGTATTTTCCATGATGATGATATTTTTGATATTTGACATTATTTGTTTATTGTATTTTATAAATGAAGGCCATTTGACCAAGAAACATTGAAGGAATGTTATTTTATCAAAATCATTGTTTGACTAGGCTTTTTTATCAAATCCCCCAAACCACAGTCCTAACTACCTTTATTAGCTACTCATGGTTGTCATTCCGCATTCTGCCTCCTCTGTCGTTGAGTCACAGTAAAGTCAATGGTCGGGGCCGCCGCATGATATTACCAGCTTTGTGTGCCGCATGGGTGTTCCAGCTGTTGCGGGAGTTTGGCCACCGCTCTGACGGGGAGACCATTTAGTGAAACCCCTCAAATCATCGCTGCCACCTTCATCTGTCTCGATCCCCCTGCTTTCCTTACAGAGTGCTGCAACCTGTGTGTATCTAATAAGGGTGGAGTTTGATGCCAATGCTCTGCAGAATTGACAAAACCTAATGATTTGGGGGTGAGCATGAAGGGATTGGGTTATAGTGTATTTGGCGGTACAATGGGTCTGCTGCTTGCCATATATAAGTTGAAAATTTTCCTTTTCATAAAGGAGGATTTTTCTTGATAAAGTAAAAAGGGACTTTGCAGGTGCTGTAGATTTTATTTTATTTGCTAACTGTCAATAAAATTGTGCTAAGTAAAAGTCCGTACAAATTATTTGAAAATTTCCCTTTATGTCATTGTTCTAAGCTTCGTGTACACCAGCCCTCTCACAACGTGAGGAGACTCACATGAATTTTATAATTGTGGACCCCTTTCAGTGTAAGAGGGATGTAAGAGTATACAACAATTACAAGCACTATTGTTGTTCTTTGATATGGTGTTTTAGCCCTATTTTTATGAAAAAATGTATTTTAAAATAGTAAATTAATGAATAATGTGTAGTTGAAAAATAATTTTTTTGATTTACGTAAAATATTATTTGGGCAGTGCTGGTCGAACAATCCCCTGAATGTTTAGGGGATTGTTCAAGTTCATTTTCCATATTATATTAATGAAGAATGTGTGATTGAAAAGAAGAGAGAGAGAAATGTATTTTGAAAAAAAATGAGAATCAAACACAGCCTAAAAAATGATGATTGCTGTCTAATCTAATTTTGTAAAGTAGATTGCAATTTATATCTGTCATTGGACGTAAAGACTTTATTTGAGCTCCATATATATATATATTAAATTCATTTTCAATTACATATTCTTCCATAAAGTAACATTACACGTAATTCAAAACTTTATATTAATTATAATATATATTATAAAAAAAATCATTATTTCAACATATATATTTTCCTAAAAAATTCATCTTAATGAAGTCAATTAGGGGCATAATTTTAAGAAAATGCGTCTTATAAATACACTACAACATATTTACATTTATAGTCCTAACTCAATATAAAAAAAAGATACAGTATTGTTGAAGCTGTTTTTCCTCGATGTTTTCCCACCCATTCTTCCTCACCAACCCTACCCACAGGCTCAATAATCCTTGTTGGAGCAGATGATTAAATAAATTAAAGCTTATTATTTATATCTCTTTATTTATTAATTGACGCATTGTTTAGTTGAATGAAAGAAAGCTTTCTCGTTTATGGTTAGGAAATAGCTTTCTTGACGATCTGCTTCGTTTCTGGAGGTAAGAACCAAAGCAACCAATGGAATGAAGCCTAATGGTATGATTACAAACCTTGCTTGGCCTTAGTGGATTAGTTTTTTCCTGTTAATTTGAAATTGTTTAGATTTTTACCCCTTTCTTCATCCTTTGACAACTTTTATTTATGATCACAAATTTCATCATTTATTTGCCTCTATTTTTATTTTTTTTATTTTTTTAGGTTCATACCAAAAAATTACACGTTGATCATTTGTTTGTTTAAGGAATCATGCCGGAGAAATACGTAACAGTGAATAATGTTTGGATTTTTTGATATGTGAATCCTAGCATTTTTATGTTTTCATATGATTTATATATCTTAATGGTGAATGAATGAATAAATATATTAGTCAATAATAAATGGGACATTTATGTCATTTTAATCATGAATATTTTAGTAAATAAAAAATTTGTGGTGTACCAAAAATTCATTGTTGTGATAACAACTTAAAAATATTTTCCAAACAAATGCTATAATTCGAGGAAATTTGCTATTTGTACATTGATTTTTGACACTTTAATTCATACTTGTATTGTTGTTAAGTGTCAATTAGATGAAAAAATTATTTAAAATTTAAACTGTTCAATAGAATAATGACAAGTGACAAAATATAAACTAAAATGTATACGTGTACATGCAGCAAGATTCATAATTTATTTTACGTCTACAAACCAACTAGAATTTTGCCCTTTCTTTGATATTCCCGAACTGCCCCTACAATCAGTATCCACGTCTCAGAGTCCTACCACCAATAAGTAGAAGAAACGTGTTACTCAATTATTGGACATGCTAGATTAAACCAAACAATTCTGCAAACCCCCGCGCTTCTTCCACATGTGGCACACAACCACAAGTCCGATCAATTCACCTTAATTCTCTCTCAAGTACGTAATTTTTTCTTCGCATTTTCTACTCCAATCAAACCATAATTTGCAAATTTAATTATTTCAGCCCCAAAATTTCGAATTTTCCCCTTTTCTGTTTTATGATTTGCTTGGCATTTCAAAATCCCAATTCTTTGATTCTTAATCATCGTCATTTTCAACGAAAACCCAGATTAAAAATCGATACTACCTTGATTATCTCATTAAAATTTGAATCGCCGTTGTTAAGAAGAAGAAGAGATTCAATGGTGAAAAAGGGTAAAGATTCAGCCACCATAATTCTGACATCAGGCGCGAGCGGTAGAATCGATGCATTATTCTCTCCGCGGGCGTTGAGGAGCCTTTGGGTTCTTCTCAACACGTTTTTTCGGATACTGTTGTTGCCATTCCGACGAAGGCGGCGGTGCATGACGGCGGAGAAAAGCGGCAGCGTTCGTGGTGGTGAGAGGGAGGAGAAATCGTCGAGATTGGTGAGAGTACCTGTGGCTATGGTGCAGTGGCAGAGGACGGTGGACAAGGAAGTGGCGGCAAGGCGGGCGCTGGCGATAAAGAGGGTTATGGAAGATAAGGAGAATGAGGAGAGTTTGAGGGATTTTTCATTGTTTGTTACGTCAAGAGGTGATACTATGTTTACTCAGTCATGGACACCTGTTAATGTTAAAGTCAGGTAATTAATTCAATCATTTAAATCAGTTTCTTAGTAACCTAAGTCGATGTGCTTTAAACTGACACGGGATTTTAATCTTAACATGCCTCATATGATTGTGGCCAGATAAACTATTCTTGGAAGTTTTAGATGGATTTAATTTCTTATATGAGCTTTTGGTCCATCCATATTAGCCCAAGTTCTTATATGTTGGTTACTGTTTTCATATTTAAAATGAAGGATTAGTTTACCATTTTGGTCATATTGCAAATGATTTTCTTCAATTTTTTTGAATTGGTGTATTATGTTCTTGATCTTTTTATCTACTTCATATTCTTCAAAAATATGTTTTAAGTTGTGAGGACAAATGGTAACAGTTAAGTGCAGTTATTATTAATTAATTTTAGCCCTCATTTTTCATTTTTTATTTTCTTTAAGGGGATAAAAAAAAAACTTTAGTCCTCAAGGTTTATTGTTTAAATTTTTATCATATATTTGAAGTAATAGTTGCTATATGGAAAAACCTAAGACAGCGACGTGACACGGTTGATATACTTCAGGGAATGAAAAGATACTATGATTCTTTTATTCTTCTTCTTTTCATCTGAGCATTAAACTTATTGACTATGACAACTTAATTAGGTGCATAATAACAATGTAGGATGTCTTACCGAATACCTCATGTTGTATGGAATTCCTACATCATGGTAATCGAATTTAGTAGGAATGTTTTTGTATAGTACCTCGTCATTGGACTGCATCCCTAGGTTTGCTAAAAAATGAAGTTCCTCTTTGTGAGGATGACTGTATTGTTGTTTTACTTCAAGCAAGTTTATGTAACAGGATATGGGGGAAGATAAAATGTTATATATTAGATTTATGCAAATGTATATGTTGCTATTGTATTAGCAGGGCTTTAAATTATTCCATAGCTCAGTTTCTAAGTTAACTAAAATAAATGAAACAAAAGATACGATTAGCTACCTGTCACGAACATTTCTCAGACAATGCCTAATGCTGCTTTACCCTTTTCTTGTTTCCAGTCCTTTTACGGACAAACCACTTTTAACATGTTTGGTAGAGAAGATTAGATAGCACTCATGCAATAAAGGGAAAAAAAAAAAAAAAGCTAAAATTTTGTTCATTATATTATCCAATTCTGTTTAGTTGAGTACTACACGCAAGAGTGCTATGAGTGGAATATAATCATGGATTCAACGATATAAAATTCCTCTCAAGATGCATTACATTTTCATTTTCCTACTTTTCTTCATGTTCTGACTGCAACAAGTAGGAAGAAAGAAACTAAGTCTTGTTCACAATAACGGCAGCTTAAGTCTTTTTCTACAACTCTATAATTTCACAGACTAGTGTAATTATTTACAATGAATGAATAATTTGGTATTTACTAGACTACGTAAGTCCATGCTGGGAATTTTTTTTTTGTGTGTGTGTGTGTGTGTGAGTGTCAAAGATCACTATAATGCAGTGAAACTGTACTAAATGCGCTGTATATCTAGTCTTATACAATTCAGTGCTTGGGGTTCTCTTATCTAAAACATTTTTTTAACTGAGTCGTTAATACATTAAAGTCAGAGTAATGCACGTTGAAGTGTTTTACGTATATTTAATTTACATTTTTAAGTTGAATAGGCTTGTTGCATTTCTATCGATATTTCTTTACTACTCAAACTTACTGTGAATTTAATTGGTGGATCGTAAAACTAATATTTTTTTTTCCTGTATATAGGGGATTAGTGGTTCTCTTGCATGGCCTGAATGAACATAGGTGTGTATGTCCATTCACATCTTATTGTCAGATCTGATGTAATTTTCAGTTCAATTTTTTTGTTCTTGTTGTCTTTCTGCTGCTAGGCTCACGCGCTTTTCTGTAACAGTGGTAGATATAGTCATTTTGCCAAGCAACTAAACATGAATGGCTTCAAGGTTTATGGAATGGACTGGATTGGTAAGTTGAAAACCATGTTGCATAAGAAATTATTTGATTCTTACAAAAAAAAAATTTATTTGCTTACTTTTTTGTTCATTGATTACAGAATGTTATTTTTCTGTTTCATTGTTCTCTATTTTTTTAGTCTAATACAAAAGAAATAAGAAGCAATAATTAATAGAAAGCTTGAAAAGACTTTTTTTTTTTTTTTTTTTAATTGAATCTAAATATTGTTCGGGAGGCCTACATGGAGAAAATCTAATGTCAGTTGCCCACTTTTTCTTATGGACTTTAGAGCCTATATGATACGTACCAGAAATCTAGGTTGCACCTGTCTTATTTTTGGTTATGTTCTCTTTGGTGTGTTCATATCTGAGGGACTAGACAATATAATATTTTGATTATTCAGTTTACTCTGAATGCTCAGTGGCCAAATTCCCTTTTTCTATTCCTATTCGAATGAATGTTTTATATGTAAATCATTGCACTAATTTCATTCATTATGTAAGTCTTAATGTTTTCATTATTTAAAATGTATTAATTATGCCAATCTTATAACTAGGTACATGAAATTCTGTTATAATAAACATATAGATTTATGTTTTGCGCAAAATCACTGGAGCTAGGTGAACTGGAAAGATCTTTAATTCGACTATGCGGTCTACTCCGGTTTTCAGTTTTAACTGAGAACCACACTGATTTTCTTCCTCTTCCTTCATTTTTTTTTTTTTATTTTTTGTTTTTTTAGTTTTGACATTCCAAGTCAATATAGTGCTTGCTGGGCTCAGCTGTTAAGTACAGTGGGTCTTAGGAAAAGTGTGGTTAAAATGTAGATAAAAGTCGTGGATTCTATTAAAAATGTAGTTAAAAGTGATGTTTGATGAGCTTATAAGCTTGAAAAATCTTTGCCAAATGTGCTAATAAAAATTTCAACAGTAGTGTAGTTAATTATAGAGCACCCTTGTGCACTTAAAATACCATGCTGGACTGGTTCGGTTTTGCACCTAACACAACATGCTAAAGTGATGTTTGATTCCCTGTATCCCTATTGCACCTCGCTATGCTTGTATGGTTACTGTGTTCTTCAACTGTCTATATTATTTATCTCAGTAGATGAACTTTCAATGCTAAAATTAATATTAAGAAACACATATTCTTATGTCTATGTCGTAAAACCTTGCAATCATCAAAACATAGACAAAGGCTTCTTACACCAGCTGCCTTTTTAATTTTTTTGAATTCTTTTTGTCCCTTTCATTTTACTGCTTCTTCAGTTTCAACAGGTTACTTCAAGTGTCAATGTTTTTTACCATTAATATATCCTTGGTGCAATATTCATTCCTTTCCATTAGATGCTTCCATCCAATTGAACATACGAAAAACTGAGAGATCATGAAAGTGTAGCTTGATAACAAAATTACAAAAAATGCAGCCTGATAGAACCCGCTTGATTATCTTGCACTTGGATACTCGATTCAACTTTAAATGTGGAAGAACAGTGAAAATAGACTTAGGATTTTATGGAAGAAAATGAATGTGGACGGAAATTAACATGAATTTCATAAACTCAACAATTACAGAAATGAATTGACACAAATTAAAGCTAGAATGGCAAGTTCTGTGAGTTGTCCCTCTCCCCACCGATTCACAGATTTTTCCCACCTTGTGAATGAATTTCTTCATTCTGTCTCCGCCCTTTTATTCTCTTTTAACCAACTAACTCCCTTCCCAAAACAATTGAATTAGTTACAATAACAAATCCTAGCCAGTTGCCTTCTTGTGACGCCTCTCATACGTAAAATGTATGGGTGGCCTATCAAAACCCCCACCGATGCAAGCACCTTGTCCCCAAGGTGGAATTCTGGAAATTAAGCGTTGATTAGCTCGAAGGGCTCCCAAGAAGCTTCGAAAGATGGAAGATTCTTCCATTGAACAAGTACTTCCTGACCTTCACTTGTAGGATCACTGCTAGGCCTGATGCCCAAGACCGCAGCTGGTTGCACAGCCCATTCCAACTCTGAACTGAGAAGGGGTGGAAGAGGTTGGATATGTGTCATCGGACTAATTGCTTTACGTAGTTGTGAGACATGGAAAATCGGATGGATGTTAGCCGTGTCCGGCAATTGCAACTTGTAGGATCTGAGTTACCTTCTTTTTTCTTGCCAGTTTTCTAGCAGGATTTGGCAAAGCCAATCCGACCTTCCCTCTCTCCTATAAAAGTAATTCACAACGAATAATTTAGAAATCTTTCTCGCCGGGTTCTGGCTTGCCAAGGTTGGGGAGCATTCCACTCAAGGAATTACATAGAAGCCCTTTGCTTTGGTATGAGCGATCTAATTCAAAAAATAAGACTAAACTATGAAATGGAATTTTGAAGTATGAAATATGGGCATATAAACAATAAAAGAGCTTCCAATGCCAATAAAAAGTAACCCACTCCAACAAATTCACATATTAATATCCCGTCTTTTTGAGTTGGAGGTTGTGCGAAAAGGCGGTCCTAGGACGGATGATAGTTCTAACCGAGCGATAGGTTTTTTTCTTTGGTGTACCTCTTCGAGAGGAGGGAAAGCCCACTTAAGGACTTTCCAGTCTCTTTCAAAAGCAGAATCCTAGGTAGATAGTGATTCACCATCCTACAAAGCCAAACTATTTTTTCTTTTTTTTTTAATAAAAAATATTCATCCATTTCATTTCGGGCGCTAGGGATTCAAAGTTGACCCTCGGACGATAAAGAGATGTTGCTTTGTCTTAGTCCATTCCATTTTTCCCCTTTGCCAGGTTATGCAGCATGGATTTGTCCTTCTCATTCTCCACAATAATGGCTTTACTACAATCCTTTCCCAAGCATCTAGTATGTACAACTAAGTATATGTTTTACAGGCTAGAATAAGGCTCCACCTTCAGTCTAGTCTTGAGCACCCTTCTTTAGGGTATGACCCAGGAGCGAAGCAAAGACAACCTATCTTGCTGCTAGGAGTGCCTATCTTGAGTCGTGGCATGCTTAATGAGATGCAAGCAGTTCTGGGAGTTACTTTCAAGAAGAAGACTCCTAAACCCCAACTCCCACGCCAGTTCCAGACCTTTCAAAATTTTCCCAAAATTCGGTAACTTCCTTGCCTGACTTCTCTGTTAATAAAATGGATCTCTCGCCCTTAGCCTGAGCCTATAGACTCACTATAGTAGTCTGTCTGGCTGCTCTTGCTGAAATCATTACTCTTCTCTATAGCAAGGGAGAGAAAGCGAATTCGGATCTTAGTTCTTTGGAAAAGCCCAGTTCTCTTTGTCTTCGAGCTTTCATTCCTCAATCCACTGATTCGTTCCTTCATATACCTCCCCACTCCAAGCAAGTAGGGTTCCAAACCTTCTGATATAGTAGGTTCAGTCCCAGTTTCCTTAGGTTATTTGGGTAACGCCCCTCTCTCTCAGATTAAATAATGTGGAAAATGAGTTTTAGCTAGAACAAGAATTCTTTCTTCATTCTTGGCTTCCAAGCAAGCCGCCTATAGAAAGAATCCATTGTGCTTTTTGGACCCACTGGTGGGTTCCGTTGGTGGGCTCCACTATCTTTCTTCGCTAGCGTAGCCCTCAGGTTCTGCATCTTAGTGTAGTTCGCAATCATGCTTTATTCCTTCATTCAAGCAGCAAAGGCCAAAGTACAGTTGAGCAATAAACATGGATCTATTTGCTTACATTCTAGGCGAAGGTTCTTGGAGTGCTACAAATGTAACTTCCTATTTAGTGCAGTGAAAGAAATTCTTCTTGTTTCGGATCGTCTTCTGCCCAATGCGGTACCCCCCGTTTTTTGGTTCCCATTGGGTTTACCTTGTTCACAGGTCGACCTACCCACCCGAAAGATTACCTACCTTACCTGAGCGACTTCAACCCAAACTTCAGACGATTTTGTTTATTTATTTGTTTTCATCAATCCGGCCTGGGTGAATATTGCAATTCAAGATTTCGTTTGTGTTCATGTTGGCGATTTCTGAGGAGAAATCTTCGCGGAGGAAGCACAAGAACTTGTCTGACGCCTTTAGGCCATCCAGTGAGAAAGACAGTCTTATTCCATCTTCCCTGATTTTGGTTCAGATCCAGAGAGAGATTGGTTCCGGTGATACAATTTGTATTTCCGTCCAAGTTGATTCGAACGCCAACTTTGAAAATCAAACAAAGAAGATAAAAGAGAACTCGAGAGGAAGATTGTAGAGTTTCACCAAAATAGGAACTCTTTTCACATCTTCTTTGGACAACGTTTTCTAAATAACTGGATAAGGACCAAAGAACCTAGGAGACAACTTCTCATTCACACGCTTAGCTAGAGATTTTTAGCGGTACGGTCGGAGTTTAAGATACACTAATTCCCCCTCCTCAAGCTGTACCGGTCTCTTTTTATCATCTGCGAACTTCTTTATCCTGTTTTGTGCTCGTGCTAATTGTAACTTCAGCTCATCAAGCATATCATTGCGAAGTAGCAGCTGTTGATCAAGTTCAGCCACTAGGGTTTGCTGATGTCCATAACGGATAATCGGAGGAGGGTCCCTCCCATAGACAACCTTAAAAGGAGTTGTCTTAGTAGTCGTATGTAATGAGATGTTATACCAAAATTCAGCCCACGGTATCCATTCCGACCAGGTACGAGGGTGGCTATTAGCAGAGCATCTCAGATATGTCTCCAAACATCGATTCACTACTTCCGATTGCCCATCAATTTGTGGGTGATAAGCTGTACTGTGACGGAACTGAGTAGATTGTAGTTGACAAAGCTCTTTCTAGAATAAACTTAGGAAAACTTTGTCCCTGTTCGACACCAATGACCTGGGGAAGCCATGAAGTCTCACCACTCCTTGTATAAATGATTCAGCCACTGATTAGCCGAAAACGGGTGTTTTAAAGTCATGAAATGAGCATACTTGCTCAACCGATCCACAACTACTAAGATGGTATCCTACCCTTTTGATCGGGGTAATCCCTCAATAAAATTCATTGTTAAATCATCCCATATTGCTTCTGGAATTGGT